AAGCAGCTTGGTGAAAATAGATCAACTGTTGGAGCAATTGTTAGAAAATGGAAGTGGCTAAAGACGACTGTCAGTCTCCCTCGGATTGGGGCTCCATGCAAGATGTCAGCTCGTGGGGTATCACTGATAAGAAAGGTGAGGAATCAGCCCAGAGAAGGGAGGAGCTGGTCAATGACATGAAGAGAGCTGGGACCACAGTTTCAAAGGTCACTATCGGTAGAACAATACGTCGTCATGGTTTGAAATCATGCATTGCACGGAAGGTTCCCCTGCTTAAGTCATCACATGTCCAGGCCCGTCTGAAGTTTGCCAATGACCATCTGGATGATCCAGAGGAGGCATTGGAGAAAGTCACGTGGTCAGATGAGACCAAAGTAGAACTTTTTGGTCTAAACTTCACTCGTCGTGTTTGGAGGACAAAGGACTAGTTGCATCCCAAGAACACCATCCCTACTGTGAAGCATGGGGGTGGTAACATCATGCTTTGGGGGTGCTTTTCTGAGAAGGGGACAGGATGACTGCACTGTATTAAGGAGAGGATGAATGGGGCCATTTATTGTGAGATTTTGAGCAACAACCTCCTTCCCTCAGTCAGAGCATTGAAGATGGGTCGTGGCTGGGTCTTCAACATGACAACGACCCGAAGCACACAGCCAGGAGAACAAAGCAGTGGCTCCGTAAGAAGCATATCAAGGTTCTGGAGTGGCCTAGCCAGTCTCCAGACCTAAATCCAATAGAACATCTTTGGAGGGAGCTGAAACTCCGTGTTGCTCAGCGACAGCCCTGAAACCTGACAGATCTAGAGGAGATCTGTGTGGAGGAGTCGGCCAAAATCCCTGTTGCAGTGCAAACCTGGTCAGGAACTACAGGAAACGTCTGACCTCTGTAATTGCAAACAAAGGCTTCTGTACCAAATATTAACACTGATTTTCTCAGGTGTTCAAATACTTATGTTCAGCAGTGCAAGACAAATACATTCTTTACAAATCATACAATGATATTTCCTGAATTTTTTTTTTAATTCTGTCTCTCAGAGTGGGAATGCACCTACAATGTGAATTTCAGACCCCTCCATGATTTCTAAGTGGGAGAACTTGCAAAATCGCAGGGTGTTCAAATACTTCTGTTCCTCACTGTATATACACACACATACATAAATATACATACGCACACACACATATATATATATACATATATATATATATATATATATATATATATATATATATATATATATATACATACACACACACACACACATACATACACACACACATACAGTATCTCACAGAAGTGGGTCCACCCCTCACATTTTTGTGTAAATATTTTATTGTATCTTTCCATGTGACAACACTGAAGAAATGACACACTTTGCTACAAAGTAAAGTCGTGAGTATACAGCTTGTATAACATGTAATTTTGCTGTCCCCTCAAAATAACTCACACAGCCATTAATGTCTAAACTGCTAGCAACCATTATTTTCCAGCACTGCCTTAACCCTCTTGGGCATGGAGGTCACCAGAGCTTCACAAGTTCCCACTGGAGTTCTCTTCCACTCCTCCATGACGATATCACGGAGCTGGTGGATATCAGAACCTTGCGCTCCTCCACCTTCCATTTGAGGATGCCCCACAGATGCTCAATAGGGTTTAGGTCTGGAGACATGCTTGGCCAGTCCATCACCTTTAGCCTCAGCTTCTTTAGCAAGGTAGTGGTCATCTTGGAGGTGTGTTTGGGGTCATTATGTTGGAATACTGCCCTGCGGCCCAGTCTCTGAAGGGAGGGGATCATACTCTGCTTCAGTATGTCACAGTACATGTTGGCATTCATGGTTTCCTCAATAAATTGTAGCCCCCCAGTGACGGCAGCACTAGCCCCAGACCATGACACTCCCACCACCATTCTTGACTGTAGGCAAGACACACTTGTCTTTGTACTCCTCACCTGGTTGCCACCACACACGCTTGACACCATCTGAACCAAATCAGTTGATCTTGGTGTCATCAGACCACAGGACATGGTTCCAGTAATCCATGTCTTTAGTCTGCTTGTCTTCAGCAAACTGTTTGCGGCTTTCTTGTGCATCATCTTTAGAAGAGGCTTCCTTCTGGGACGAGAGCCATGCAGACCAATTTGATGCAGTGTGCGGCGTATGGTCTGAGCACTGACAGGCTGACCCCCCCACCTCTTCAGCCTCTGCAGCAATGCTGGCAGCACTCATGTGTCTATTTCCCAAAGACAACCTCTGGATATGACGCTGAGCACGTGCACTCAACTTCTTTGCTTGACCATGGCGAGGCCTGTTCTGAGTGGAACCTGTCCTGTTAAACCGCTGTATGGCCTTGGCCACCGTGCTGCAGCTCAGTTTCAGGGTCTTGGCAATCATCTTATAGCCTAGGCCATCTTTATGTAGAGCAACAATTCTTTTTTTCAGATCCTCAGAGAGTTCTTTGCCATGAGGTGCCATGTTGAACTTCCAGTGGCCAGTATGAGACAGTGAGAGCGATAACACCAAATTTAACATACCTGCTCCCCATTCACACCTGAGACCTTGTAACACTAACAAGGCGCATGATACTGGGGAGGGAAAATGGCTAATTTGGCCCAATTTGGACATTTTCGCTTTTGTTGCCAGCGGTTTAGACATTAATGGCTGTGTGTTGAGTAATTTTGAAGGGACAGCAAATTTACATGTTATACAAGCTGTACACTCACTACGTCACATTGTAGCAAAGTGTCATTTCTTCAGTGTTGTCACATGAAACGATAGAATAAAATATTTACACAATGTGAGGGGTGGAGACTCACTTCTGTGAGAGTGTGTGTGTGTGTGTGTGTGTGTGTGTGTGTGTGTGTGTGTGTGTGTGTGTGTATACCAGGGGCGGACTGACAACTCATGGGGCCCCCGGGCAATAGGGGATCATGGGGCCCTTGTGTCCTTGCCCAAACTCAAAAAAGCCTATGAAAAAGGTACCAGGGGCATCTCATGGGGCCCCCTACTGACCCCAGACCCTCGGGCAATGCCCGAGTTTCCAAATGGTTAGTCCACCCCTGGTGTGTACATATATCTGAAAAGGAAAGGTAGTTTTAATAACATTCAATTACAATCTGCAGCCCTGTAATTTTCTGTAAAATGCAATATGGCTACCTGGAGGCTTTCTATATACAGATGGTGAACAGTACGACCCCAGAAATGTCATTTCCTACTTGTGTGATTGGCTCACTGATTTTCACCAGACTTCTGCGCTAAGATACAAGTCAGATTTTGAGCATCCCCTGCAACAAAAATGTCATTTTTGGTGAGATACCCCCAAAAGGGAAATCATGTCTGAAGGGATGCAGATCCCACCACTTTCCTCATTAGAGCCTTGCAGGTGCAGCAGCTGACTGATAATTATAAAATCACTCCCATACAGATTCACTCTGCACATGGACACAAACAGCTATTCTTTCAGAATCACAAAAAGATAAGACTGCAACAAAGTTTGGGTTATCTATGACCATTGCAGGGATTCTAACAGAGGGATTTTTTTTACTCAAAGCCTAAGCTACATTTTAATGATTGCTACACTGTTCTCTTTAACCACTTCCCGACCGGCCGTTGTATATAAAACGGCCGGACGGTGGCACTGCAAGGTCGGGTGGCCGTCTATAAACGGCCTCCCCGCACCCTGCTTGTGCGCGCTCCCTGGGAGTGCGTAGCACCGCGATCCGGTGCCCGCTGTGTCCTCCGGACACAGTGAAACACCGATCGTCGGACGGGACCTCTGTACGAGGTCCCGATCATGTGATCACTGATTGGCCAATCAGTGATCACATGCAAAGTAGTAAGCAAGATGTCACTTGTGACATCATTGTTTACTACGTGTGAAATCTGTGAATGATCACAGAGGTCACATGGTACAAGGCTATTCACAACAGGCTTGTACCATGTGACAAGCTGTGACCAATCACAGCTCACTCAGTACTTCTCAATGAGTGCATGAATGCACACAGAGAGAAAGAGAAATGATTGCTTTTACATCCTATATGTGTGTAAAAAAAAAAAAAAAAAAAAAAATCTTCACCCCCCACAAGTAGTGCAGTGTCACCATGGTGACACTGTACTGCTAGGGTGACAGTATGTAAAAATAAATAAATAAATAAAAATAATAATATAAAAAAATAAAATAAAAATGTAAAAAAAAAATGTTTAAAAATTATAATTTTTGTTATAAACTAATTTGGATTTTTTTTTTTTTACTAAAAAGATAACGGAATCAATTTTGGCAAAGATTTATGATGAAATATTATTTATTTGCAAAATTTTATTAAAAAAACACTTTTTCAAAATTTTTGGACTTTTTCATTTACATAGCAAAAAAAAAAAAATAAAAATCCCAGCGGTGAATAAATACCACCAAAATAAAGCTTTATCTGTTTCAAAAAAATGCTAAAAAATTAATTTGGGTACAGCGTTGCATGACTGCGTAATTGTCATTCAAAGCGTGATAGCGCTGAAAGCTGAAAATTGCCCTGGTCAGAAAGGGGGTAAAAGTGTCCGGTCTTGAAGTGGTTAATGGTTTTGTAAGTCCTCATACACACGGGACGTTTTTACAGCGGCTGTTTTTGGCTTTTGACATTTTTTTCTACATCCAGTAAACTCCCCAGTATGTTATCCTATGTGTCCATACACACACAGACTGTAATTAATGTTTTTTGGCTGGAAAAAAACCCAGGACTAGTGGGCTTCTAGATGAGTTTTTTAGCTGTAAAAACACTCTAACGCTGAAGAATATGGTAATACACGGTAAACCGCCGTTTTTGGACCAACAAAAATTACTTTTTTTTTTTGGTAACAAAAAGGTTAAAAACTGCAAACGCAAAAAAAACGTGGCTAAACACTAAAAAAAAAACTCTGTTTTTAACATGACTTTACAAAGCTTTATTAAAAAGGTATTAAAACGCCCCATGTGCATGGAGCCGAATAAATTGCATCTAAACCCAATCTGTTTTCCAGGTCACCAGGAACTCCATGGCAGAAACCAAGATTAAAGATTTGTATGTTGAAAATTCACAGCTGATCAAAGCTTTGGAGCTGAGTGAGCAAAGACAGCAAACAGCAGAGAAAAAGAACTATTTACTGGAAGAGAAAATCTCTGGACTGAGCAAGATAGTGAGGGACCTGACCCCAAACAGCCCAGGGGCCGGACACTCCCACCAGCGAAGGGCGTAG